GGTAGCCAGAGAGAACAGATCGCCAAGTGTCACGATCCTTACATACCTCTTTCGCTTCTTTCAGGTTCATTAACTTCTTCATACATGCACTTAGGTATCCGAGTACTCTTGACCTTCACCTCTTCGAGTAATTTGCTCACATGGTAAATTTTATATTAAAGCAAAAATAATACCAAATGATATCTACGTTTTACACTAAAAATATTGTATTCATATTTTTTCTAAGAATAAGAAATAAATAATAATGCAAGCGACAAATAGTTAAAAACTATCTTCCTAAATTAAGAAATAATTTGTTTTTTTGTATAATTTGGGTACTTTTAACTACGTACGGGCTATGACTAGTTTGGGGTCCGCCAGTAACTTTTTTATATGTAATAAGAATTTAATTTAATACAATACAAGTTAAAATTAATTTAATATAAGTTACTATTTTTTTCTAGTGTTTAGGTCTGTAGCTCTATTTCTAGGAATAAGTGATTTTTTATTTTATTTGTATCTCACGTACGATAACGTACGAGGAACCTTAAAGACGTTTATCGGTTTAAAATAAACATACAGAAATAGACCATTGCTTTTTTCACCAAAAAAATGCTTAAATATACTCGACTCGTGGGACAAGGACCTTTCTAACCGTAGATTTAGTATAAACTAACGCTAGTTTCTAACATAAGAAGAGTATATGCGTACATACTGAATAAGGCTACGTGGTGTCACGGAAGCGCTTTCGGGTATATATGCAGTCACAACAGCGTCTATCGTCTGTTTCAAAGGTTTATTTTATCTTCTTTCATATACAAAGAAACTTACAATTTTCTAGAAAATTAAGAACAAAATTACGATTTCCTTGAATAATCTTCCTCGTTTTACGTAAGCGTACTCATTTGAGATGTTGTGTTTTTTTTTGCAAGTTATGTTTGTTGTTTTAAACTTTTTAATTAAAATTAAAAATATGTAATATTGCATTAGTTAATATAAACGCTACGGTAAAAAGTAAGTCCTATTAGACAAAATTATTCAAAAAGTATTTTCACTAAAGAAGTTTAGACAAAAGACAGTGGCTGCCTTTTAAGACGTAGGCTAAGAAGAAGATGAAGGCGTATCTTATGAAAGGATTTTTTTTAAATTCAAACCTTAAGAGAGTGAAATAGGGTATAAAATAAGTGAATATGGATTTTGGGATATTTCAATACAACCCTTTACATGGAGGCAAGAGACTGTCAAATTTTTATGGACGGAAATAATTAAGGGTCTTTTTAATTCATAAAATGGGACAAATACTCTTAATTATTTTTTCAAAAAATTTACCTACCTATTACTTTGCTCCATAATAACAAACGTCCTTTCACCTTGCAGTCCCACCACACGCGTTAGTGACGTGTTCTCGCTATTTCCCATGGTCGTATCTTACGTCGGCCACGAATTAAAATAAAGTGACTGTGCACACATATGAGCATAACATTAAAAGTCGAAAATATATAATATTTTAATTTCGTATGTATTTACACTTATCTAATAGGCTTTTAAGATTTATATCTACCAAACAACAAGTGGTAACATAGTATATAAACATAATATGTGATACAATTAATTTCATTGTACTTAGGTTATATTAGCGGAATGTACAAATTTTTAGATAGTATTTGATTATTTAACTTTTGCTTGCATCCTAATATTTTTATAAATTAACGGTGGGGATATGGCGCTGACAGCTGATGCACAGGTCTCCTAGTTCGGCTGCAGATGCTATGTTTTCAAGTATATGTACTAATGTAGCTTTATTAAATAATGTTATGCAAATATCGTGATGTACAACCTCTTGGAAATAAAGAACTTATTATTATAAAAAAAAACTAAACTAAGGAATCTGAATAAAAAAAAGAAACAGCTAAAAATATTTTAAAATATTTTCGGAGATTCATGAATATTCGTTTTGAAGCACTGTATTCTGGAACAAAACCAAATGCAACAAAGTTTATTAAAAGCAAAATTGAAAACATTCCATATCCATTATCTCTTATGTATTCACTACATTTCATTTTCAATTTTCTTATTCGAATGTGCACTCAATTTGCTAAGATATGGTTTTTGGTACTGACGTTATTGACTTTGTTTCCCCAAATGAAAGATTCAAGCAGTACAAAGACTATAAAATTTATTATCTTTGATGCATTACAATGAAATCGGATTACTACGTTACTAAAAACCTATTTTTTTCTTTCGCATTATCTTAGCATGATATTAATCATTATTCATGTGTGATTATTCATGCTTGTTGTAGGCACAAAATTGACAGTCACCTGGCTTGTTATAGCAATGCGATCGACTGATGTTTCCACTAATTTCAATTTCAATTTTTTTTTACTTTACTGAACTTATTCAATTAAGCGACGACGCCCAAAGGAGCCGCCCGCATGTGCTGCACAGCCTGCACTCTCGTTTGCACAAGAACTCTTTGTATTAATTTCGTCTAAGCTTTGACATATATTATATTATTCAATTTAATTAAATTATTTGATATATATTGTGTTATTGTTCTAAGAAAAAGAGTATATAATCACTACGCTCTAACATATTAACGAAAATTATAATTAAGGCGGCCATAAGCGAAACGAACCGAAGCCTAAATCATAACATCGAAGTTTCCGAACGTCTCTTCATATGCAGAACAAGCTCCGTACCATGGAGCATTATCCGCTGAGCACATTGGTGAGGATATTTTCTCTTTTCTCTACACGGCCAAATAATGTTTTAAAAGAGTAGAAAATACAAAATTAAGTTAATAACAAATTTATATCAGTACTTTTGACTTTTGGGGCTAACTTGTCTTGTTATTTATATTTCTGTGGGGCTAACAATATAATTGGTTTTATTTATTTTCATTTCATGTTTAAAGAAATTAACAGTTCTGGTATATAAAATGTCATGGTCAACTCAAATGTTTCTCTTTTATGACAGTATCTAAAATTGCCAAACGTTATCCGATATAATACGAAATTGTGTCATAATATATCTACAATGCGAATAAAATTCATCATCAATTTTTTTTAATATTATATATAATTTAATTATTTTTTTTATTTATGTAAGACTAGAATAACTATTCGATTAAGTTTTATGACATGCAGGTACCGTTACCGATACAGCCTATTCAATAAAGTCTACTATTTAACTAAGGCGTCCCCCTTAAATTGCCACGTAGTGAGGATATTTACCATAATTGCCACGCTAGGCAAATCCTCCGAAAATAATAACTTTAATATAAATAAAAAAGTCCTATGACTTTCGTAAAAAGTCATAGGACTTTTTTATTTATATTTCATCAAAGAATATAAAAGAAATGTCTGGTTGGAAATAACGATTCATTGCAATTGTAAAAAAATCAACATGCATTTATTATATCATCAGTATGAAAATTTGAAGAGACACTCCTAAACCATATGCCTGATTTGGATACATTTAGGTTTAATCATCTCCAAATTTGTCAGCTTCTATATCAAAAATGTTTATTTGTATTGGTCAATAAAATATTAGGCTGTCATCACCATTCTGTGTATATCAATTTCTAAAAAAATTAGCAAAATAAAAAAACATCACATCTGATAATCTGAACTTTCATGTAACCTATGTTACTAGGTCTATTGAACGCTTTTTTATAAGCCCCAATTTCAAATACTCACTTTTCAAAGGTAAATAAGAAAAAAAATATTTCGAAGACATGTGAAGTTCGCCAACACGCATTGGGGCAGCACGGCGGACAGTTCCTCGCCCTAAAACCCTCTCAGAAATGAGCGGAGGCCTGTGCCCAGCAGTGGGACGTATATAGGCCGTAACTTTACTTTTTACTTTTACTATGATTTTGGATTTTATAGATAATGTCACCTAGGGCTATATCATCACTTACTACCAGGTCGGATTAAAGTCAAGTACTGGCTTAAAAATACCACAGTTTGCAATTTGCTTTTCCCGAATACGACTAAAATGAAGATTTCTATGGGTTTTGGGTTATACCGTTAGACATGAGCTGTTTTTGTCGATTTAACTCTCTATAAATCTTCTAGATATTAATCAGTAAATGTATAGCATAAGTATGAATATTTTAATCACTGAATATTTTTAACAAAAGTAGTTTATTCGCATGAGTCTGTGTTACAGTTACAGCCTACTAAAGTTCACTGCTGGACATAGGCCTCCCCCACAGATTGCTTCATAGAGGGGATATTAGTCTTGTGTGTGTGTCTGTGGCTGTGTGTGCCGTGACATTAAATAAATCTTAATTTTAATCATTTTGATTATCATTCTGTCAAACAGATGGAAGATATTTTAATAAAGCCAGTTTAATTTAATATTGTCAATAAGGTACGTGAGGGTAATATGGTCACCCTAAGCTTTGCTGCCCTGTAAAATAAAAACTAGGAGGTGGACATAAACAAAAACACAAATTGTATGCTATAACTAATATATTAAAAAAAATATTAGCAAACAAGATAAACATATAAAACTAATTTAATTTAATTTAAAAATGGATTTACCTTTGAAAAAAAAACCTGCGCACAAAAATACAGACCGGAGTGGGAAAATATGGACGAATTTAAAGGTTGTCTAAAATCGACAAGTGAAGACTCAAGTTTCTACGGAGATTCTTGCTAAACTGTTTTATATAAAGAAGCATGCTGAGACCAAAAAGCACAAACAGAAAGTAGAGTTGAAAAAAGGTACGTGAATGAATTTAAAATTCGTTTTGTTGATATCAGACTCTATCGATGGGAAAAATGAGTTTGATATTTTCATTTTACCAATTTTTTAGGGTCAAATAATATTTTGCGTCTAGGTTCCTTATGTATATTAATTTTGTATTTACAGGCAATAAAGAAATTCCTTTCAAAGTTGTACCAAAAGACCATTTATTTAGACCTTGCGATGAATCTGAAGGCGCATTGACCTTATTTATTGCCGAGCACTGTTCTATATTAAGTGTCCATTTGGGTGAAATGTGAAAAATGTGTTTCAAAGACTCCAAAGCTACACAGGAACTTAAATTGCATTGCACTAAATGTACAGAAATAATGAAAAATGTGCTGATGCCGCACTTTCGCAAGGAGCTCTTAGATGATATTGGATACCAAAAGTTCAGCATTATAATGGATGAGTCCACAGACGTCAGTGTCATTAAACACCTTGGTCTTGTAATTAGGTATTATAGTGCCGCACAGGTAAGTTCATTCCTGGAACTAGTTTCTATTGAGAGTGCAGATGCTAGGGGAATCGTTAATGGCTTGGCATCATGCTTAGAGAGTCACAACTAACATATCAAACAAATGATTGGAATTGGAACTGATAATGCATCTGTTATGACGAACTTTGGGGGTACTTTGTTTTAAAAAGCACAATTTACAATATAATATTTCGTACAATTGTTATGAAAACATTAAAAATGCGTGGTAGCGACCACCATAATCTCAGGGGTTTTTATTAATACCATATTCCCAGCAGTTTTTATCAATCATGTACTCTTTTGTAGTATAATGATTATTTGATTAATAAATATTTTATTTTTGCATTATTGTATTGCATGCTCAGGGTGCTGAACTGCTGTTGAGTTGAGTTGTTGAATTGTTAGTTAACGTTCTGATTTAACTTCACTCGAGTTCACTGACTGATAAACAAATGTCAAACGCATATTAAACGCTTTTACAACAAAGTTCCAGAAAATGTGCGGACCTTATCTATCAAAAATAAAATATTTATTAATCAAATAATCATTATACTACAAAAGAGTACATGATTGATAAAAACCCCTGGGAATATGGTATTAATAAAAACCCCTGAGATTATGGTGGTCGCTACCACGCATTTTTATATATAATATCATCACTCGTGGCGCGACCTATACTAGCGCTGATATTATAAGCTATGTCAGTTATCCTATATCCTATACCTTTAAACGAGCAATTCTTGTGTGTGTGTGTATATATATATATATACTAGCTTGCCAGACAGACGTTGTTCTGCCCTTTTCGACCATTTGTCATGCCCTATTAAAAATCCTTATTTTCGCAAACAAAATTTTGGGTCACTCATGAGCAAAAAAAAAACTGTCCTATCTCTCAAGTTTGGCCAATCTACACACGGTGTGCAAATTTGATTAAAACCGGTTAAGTAGTATAGGAGTCCATCGCGGACAAACAACGTGACACGTAATTTATATATATATATATATATATATATATATATATATATATATATATAATAAATGTGTTACTTATCACAGCGTTGCTCCTTTAATAAAGTAATATTTGTTAATGTAATCTAGCATATAACTTAGGATTAATTTCTTGTCATCAATCATAGCTCTGCCCCGCGGTTTTACCTGCGTATATCATGTGTCTGAGCCGCACGACGTAACATGACACCTAGTTCAAGCATTTTGGATAGCAATGTTTAAAAAAAAATGGCAAAAACAATGGAGCAATTTTATCTAACGGCATATGTACGTTACAGAGCGAAGTGTTCCGAAGTGTGTTTATTCTTTTTAGTGTTAAAGAAAACTGTACACGATACATGAAAAGTGCGCAGGTAAGAAAGAATCCCATGATTTGCTATCAACCTCTTATACATACAAAAGCGATATCACTTATAGTTTCCGCAGACTCGGCCACGAAATATAAAAATTTTGTCATTTATAGATATCATTTTGCTCAAAGTTTTCCCAAAAATTTCCCACTTTACCGCCAAGATACGTATTACAAATGTCCTCTCAAGAAAAGGATATATTCCTTAAGAAGTGATAAAACTAAAAATTTTGTACAACCAACTTCAAAACGAGAATGTCGTGAATATAGTTGAAGTCAAATAAATACGCTTTATTAAGAGTACTCGGATCTGATCTGATCTGATTTGATATATGGGATTATATTAAAAGTATCAGCTTTCAAATAAAAAAAGAATCATCAAAACCGGTTCACCTAGAAAAAAGTTCTGAGGTAACACATATAAAAATACAATCGATAGTGTACCTTCTTCTCTATTGAAGTTGATTAAAAAGAGGTACAATTTTTTTCTAAGCTCTTTCATTTAACGTTGCTATGCTATTTTGAAATTTCATTATTTAGCTAAAATTATTGATTTCTAAGCTCTTTCATTTAACGTTGCTGCTTTTTGAAATTTCATTATTTAGCTAAAATTATTGAACTAATCTGGGTAATAAAAGTGTTTACTGCTGCTTTCTCTTGGTTCTCATCGGGCGGCTAGGGGCTTATGCGTCATTCACGCACCAAGCCAAGTGTTGGATTATTTTAATTTTTCATTATCTCCTAAACTATACATCCAAATAATATGCTATAAAGAGCAAAGTTTATCTTCATAAAATTGTCTTGATGGTAAAGTAACTTTTGTCCGTGAGAATTAATATGCCATGCACGTTATTATTAGAATAACAGTCATGAATTACTTTTTAATTTTCTAAAAGATTCATATTTTTGTAGCATATCGTATTTACGTATCGCTAGCCATTACGCCAGCGCACGCGGATAATTCATTTCAGGAGCGCATTTTCTTTTGACTTGCTTTTAACAACAATCAATATTTAAGGGTAACTGAGAGAGGTAGCACAATAGGGTCTTTAATATACAAAAATAATTTTATCATTTGTATTGATAGTTTCAGGAATTAGCGTGTTATATTGTAATAAGTATAGATTATCGTATGGTGCGGCGATAAATTAAACTCTGCTTGTGGTATTAGATCTTTAATGTACAGAAACACTGGTACACTTTACAATTATTACAGTTGCTTACTTGCTTATAGCTCAGAAATAAAAAAGTCGGTTTTGGGGGTGCAACTAATATTAAATAACAAATATGTAATTAAAATATTGGTGTTTCCAACAATTACGAACATTCTAGAAGCAAGTCTGTTTGATGCAGCTTTTATAAAGTTGAGTGTATCAAAGCAGATGTTTGAATGGCGAATAGCCAATTGTAGTTTCAGACGTGACGTTTGATTTACTCGTGCTATTTATTAAGTCTTTAATCACTATGTTTGGTTTGGGAGTGGCGACGTCATCGATTGTTACTTACAATTCATTTCTTAAATGACTTTTGTGGAAATAAGGGTGACAAATGAAAACACAGTTCAGTCGATGGTAAGTTGCCCGCAGATACTTACACCTACTTGTTTCCTCGATTTAAAATCAAAATGCAGATGGGTTGTCACCCTTGAGAGAGAAAGATAAAACGAGAAAATAAAACGATAAAAAGATAAAAAAAAGAAACGAGAGAGAGAAAACGATGAAAAAGATTCTGAGAAATAATATTTATTCTGTAGATAGAAACGGTGGTTGACCAGTTGCAATTGCATTTAATATTAACATACTATATACAGGATTACAATCATTAAGGGCAAGACGATTTAGAAATTACAAGTATGTACCATATTATGTTGTGTAAACTTTGTTAATTTCACTTTACTGTCATCGACCGTTAATCGATCATAAAACTCATATAATTATGTAAAATGATCGTGTATAATATATCTAAAATAATTTTTGGGTATAAAAGAATGAAAATTGTTTATGAGATCAATCATTCATAATAAGAATTTAAATAAAAATACAAGAAGAAAAATTTCAAAGAACATTAAGAGACAGAAAATATTACACTCACAAATTAAATAGCTTTGAAGATTCATCGACAAATAGAAGTTACGATTAACTTTCGTAAATCATTAACGTAAAATTGAGAAGAACGATGCTGAACATTTGGAATTCGTAGTAACATTTACCTTAAATAATTTAATTAAATATAAATTGTTAATTTAAATATTTTTATTCCAAACGAGATAATGGTATAGTGTAGAATGAAAAGAAATAAAATATGTTTATTTCTTCGATGTAAAAAATAGACTTGACTGACAATATAATTTTTTCGATTAGATATAAGGTTCCTCAGACCGGAGAATTAATTGAGATGAAAACGACGAGTGAGGTTTTAAAAGTTACAATTATAATGAAGTCATTAACCTTTAAAATTTTCACCTTTAGTTATTATAAATATAAAACTCCAGAACAGGTTATGTGCTCAAATTAATTCTTGGCAGCCGCAATTGATGGTTCATTAAGGGTCAGTTCACACCGAGACGTGACGCTACGCATTTTTAAAGATAGTAATACAAAATAAAACTTTATTCACTACATAAAAAGATACACATTTTATTGAGATAATTCAAAAACGCACTGCGGCGTCATGCACTACGGTAATTCGTCGGTAGGCGCAGCGTATTTCAGCCGCGCGTTTCAATAGTAAACGATGAAGAGAACGCGCCTCTCGGCAGTCTAGTGGCATTGTAAGGATGTATTTTTATACGTCGTCGTCGTTACCTTTTTTTTCCATATGTAGGTAATATAGAATAATAAATACGGGAAGTCTCATCACGACAAATCGGTCACGACTGTACGAGGCAGCAAACCGGGCGACTCTAAGTTCGTTTCATAGTTTCGAGTGAGTCATGCGCGCACTTACGGGCCGCGCTTACCACCCGCGCTGACGGTAAGCATCACTGTAAAACTACACTACGTCTTGCGACGACACGCTGCCACTGGCCTCTTTAAGGGAACTACAAGAGCCAAATGACATCAAATGATGCAAGCACAAATCTACACAATCAATGTGAACGCTATCTATATACATATAATCGGAATCTCAGAAACGGCTCCAACAATTTTCATGAAATTTAGTGTGCGTGGAGTTTCAGGGGCTAAATCGACCTAACTGGGATTAATTTTTAGAAAATGTCATTTTATCCGTGATTTCAAGCAATTATAAACTGCTACAGTATCATTAGAATACGAAGATAAATTTTGCCGTTATATGCAAGGTTATAATAGCACAAATGGGATATCGGGTGGTCCCGAAATCGTGGGATCCCGGTTGTCCAGCTACTAGGTCTAATAAACGAATAAATAGGACTATGAAATTATTTTTTATTTGAGTGTTACTTGAAAATTTAAGCATGTGGGTGATTTTAAAATAACACTGATTCGGTTAAACTTAAAAAAATTAGATCCCTATTAAAAAATGTCAATTCGGTGCAGTTCATACATTTTATGATTTACATAAGTTTTTTTAGATTTATATTGTTCCACATTTAGTTTCAGCTTTATTTATTATTTAAATATATAAAAGTTACAGCCTATATACGTCCCACTGCTGGGTACAGGCCTCTCCTCGTTTCTGATAGGGTTTTAGGGCAAGGAAGTGTCCGCCGCGCTGCGCCAATGCGTGTTGGTGAATTTCACATGTCTTCGAAA